TTTTTTTTTTTTTTTTTTTTTTTTTTTTTTTTTTTTTTTTTTTTTTTTTTTTTTTTTTTTGAAGAGGAAAAATATTACTATTTTTCCTCTACCATATGCTACAGAATAGAGCGAGTCAGTGACGATGTGTCGGCGGAGGGGCGAGGGAGGACTTGCATTGGTAGCACTTGGCGAAGAGGCCAAAGGAGTCGATCTGTCGAACGAAGTTGGTGACGCTGGCCCAGCCGCCGAACCCGAACCCGACCACCAAGATCCAGACCACTATGAAGCTGTTCAATACGTACATAGCTGTCCAGCTTGGGAGGAAGAACGGCGGCTTCTCCGCCGCATTCTGCCGGAAATCAACCATAATTAGTACAACAAAATGGCGTTGAGAAAGAATAATGAAAGAGAAAGAGCGGACCTGTCTGGCTGAGGGCTTCCTGTAAGTGAGCATATGGGCGGCGGCGGGGATGATGTAGACAGTGAAGCTGACCAAAAGGGCGCCGACGGCAGAGTTGATGGGCCCAAAGAAAGGGAAAATGATAGCCAAAAACCATATGGGAATAACCACAGGCAGCCTCACAAGAGCCCTCAAACACAGGCTTTTTGTGTCGTGCATTCCAATCACTTTCTCCCACACAAAGTATAGCGGCGTACATGCGAACCCAAACGTTATGAACTGCATAGTTCAATTGTTCAATCGTTCTGATTATAAATTTTTTCAACATAAATCATCTTATTAAACAAATAATGAACCGAACTTAATCCAACCATAAATTTTTAATTCAAATAGGTTCATAACTCCATCCAAATCATATGGGGTGTGTTAGATTAATTAATTTTTTTTTGTCATTGAAATTTTTTAACACTTCTCCCTAGATTTTAAGTCATAAATTGACCAATACCAACTAAGTAAATTAATAAAAAATAAAATTATAACTATAATTTCACTATAGATCCAATAATTTAATAATTTAAAAGTATAATCAATAATTTAGCTAAATATGGAACACGCCTAAAATGTTTAATTGACAAAAGTAGAAGTAANAAAAAAAAAAAAAAAAAAAAAAAAAAAAAAAAAAAAAAAAAAAAAAAAAGCTTAATTGTGATATTTTAAAAGTTTGAAAGCTAATCAGAAATAATTAGAGTGAAAAACAAAATAAATTTGAATTAAAAAAAAAAAAACCTGGTGAATGAGCATCAAGATAACGGCGGCGTCACGGAATCGGTTCTTGGGGAGGAGAGAGAAAGCGTTGGAATGGTTGAGAAGCTCGTCGCCAAAAGCCCAGTAAACGGCTGAAGCTGACGGAAGCGTTAAAGTGAAAACGTACAGCGTGGCCATCAAGTAAATAGCCTTGAACTTCTGGGGTTTCCACATCGCGTGCATTATTTCCCTTTAAAAAAAAAATAAATAATAATAATAATAGAAATAATTATGGAAATTAATTAATTAAAGACATAAAAAAATTATAATTAAAAAAGAAAAGGAGGGGGGGTTACACAGTGACAGCGTGGCCGCCGAATGTGTAAAGAATATTGGTGGCGCCAGTGAAGTAGAGCACCAGCTTTGTCGGGCCGGAATGGATAACACCGTCGACCTGCACCAGCAGCGGAGAGAAATGAGAAGGCAGAAATTCAGAGAGAGAGAGGGGGCGGAGAGAGAGAAACCTGGCCGTGGACGAGGGCGGCGACGGCCAAGTACCAGGCGGTGTAAGTGGTCATTCCAAGGCCGAGAAAGGACCAAATCCGGTAGTTATGAAAGGAAGGGATGAAAACAGTGGTGGCGCAGCATGCTCCGAAAATGTAAGTCCACGTTCTTTTGTCCAAGTGGTCATTAATGTAATATATATTACTGGATCACAAATTTAAAAAATATTTAATTTAATTCTTATAATTTAATTTTAATTATGGTTTTGATATGGTTACCTTGCGCATCCAATAAGCTGGATGACAGATCCAAAGAGAAGGAAAGTACAGTTGAAAGCCAGCCCCACGGCCTTCCATTGAGGTCCCAAAAGCCCATCAAGAACTTCGAACCACTGCCAAACCAGACACAACGACGACGTCGTTTCATATTGGAAAATGAGAGAAAAAGGAAGGGGGCTTTAATGGCGGCGGAACCTGAATCACATGGTTTTTGAAGCTAACGTTCTCCTTCTCCTTCCGGCTTCTGTATTCAATATACAGAACACTGATCAAATACGCCGTCCAACTTCCGAGCATCCCATAGAATATTTGGAACATGATTCCGGACAGCATTCCCAGCTGGGAAAATGAATACGGCAGTGTTAAAAGCACTTGAGCCACCTGCAAAACAAATATGCGTAACATTCAGAGTGGTTTTCCGGCCAATTATGGGCGGTTTCCCGGTCAAACTTGGGGGGGGAGGGGGGTTTTACTTGATTTGAGGCACAGCTAAACCAGGCATCCCAGGCGGAGCCGCCGTGCCAGAGTAGATCTTTCATTTGGAAAACAGAGTTCTCTTCTTCTCCTTCCTCCTTTCCGCCGCTGTTTTCCGCTTCATTTGCGGCGGTCGGAACAATTGCTTCCTCTGCTTGTCTCTGTCCCAACATTTTTTTTTAAAATTAAACGTCTAAATCTGTGCAGATCTGTTGGAAATGAACACAAAGAAGACAGTAAATACAAGACAATACCCATCTCATAATAATCAAATTAAATCAAACCCCACCTTAAATGAAACAGATCTGTTCCTTCACCTCCAAAAATTCCTCCAATTTTGAAGTTCAAAAAAAAAAACAGAGCAATAAATCTCGAAAACAGAGGAAACCCCTCAAGAACCCTTAAATGACCTGAAATCCAAAAACCCAAGCTCAGAAATTAATGTGCCCCCATTACGGTGGTGCTCAACCTCAAAACGGCGGCCCACGACGGCGACTGCCAGAGAATCTGAAAAGTGAAAAGGCTGCAAAACAGAGCGTAGCTTCTGCGAGTTTCCAAACGGCTTTTGTTTCAGAAAAGTTTTTTTCTTTTTTTTTATAAATATATTTATATAGTGAATGAATGAGGAGAAATTGGTGATATTCTTGGGAATCAACCACCCCCACTGCCCCTATTTATACCCGTAATTGTAATGATAAGCAGAACCTGTAAACTAATAATTATTTAATTCTTCATAATATTTTCACTTAATTATTTAATTCCTTTTTTTTTTATAACAAAATAATTCACTTTAGGTTTAAATTTTAATCTCCTACCTTCTAAAATAAGTAAGTTGGGTCCATTTTCTTAGCCAAGCTCACTCCTTTCCAATTGAAACAACTTTGATTTTAGCATTGGGCAGGCAAAATCCCTTTTTAGTCGGGCGAGCATTTTCTTATAGTTGTTGATGTCGGACACCCGTTAGAAATAGCGACCGTCGTGGTAGCATTATGGTAAACATAATGATCGTTCCCCTACCTCATAATGTACGCATTCGTACTATTATAAAATTGAGAAGGGGTATCCCCTATGAATGAACAATGAAGCATGAGGTTCCAACATTTTTTCATTTTCATTATCATGTTCTACGACCCGCTAGCTTCTTCCTTCATATCTTAACATTTTTATCATATCTTCCATAGGTGTATCGAGGTTGTTTCTCATGCAAAAAATGTCTTATTGCATGTCATTCATACCATATATCTTAACATGTCACATGTGTCATACCATAAGCATATCATGTCATAAAGCATATTACCGTATGCATCGTATCATATCTTAACTAAATCATCAAATGCATCGTATCATAACACTTATATCATATCATTCACATAGCATACCATAACATACGTCATAACATTAAAAAATGTATCATAATTATATCATTTCATAATATATATCTTATCTTCATGCATCATACCTCGATTATATCATCAAATGCATCATATCATTCACATATCGTACCATCAACATCTCATATCATAACATATATCTTAACATATCATAGTTATATCGTTTCATAACATATATCTTATCCTCCTCGTATCATATCTCAAATATTTCATCAAAAGCATCATATCATGACAGTTAATTGGTTGGAGAGAGTTTTGTTGAATAAACATATTTTATTTATCATTATTTTCTTCGGCCATTCAATATAATAGTGATTGACTGCTCGAGCACTCGAATACATTACCATCTTTATTATCATTATCTATGAAATTCGAACCCGAACTCTATTTATGAGTCATTTTTTCATTTCATTGGTCATTTCTTATTTCAGAAGTTCTTTTCTTTCTAAGAGGTGGAATAGAATAAGTAAGTAAACAAAGACAGAGTCAACCTCTGTCTTGGCTGGCCCCGAGCTGTAAACAAAGAAAGCTCCTCCTTCCTCGCTTCTGGCTAAGCTGCGAGTGAATGATCAATCTAGTGAAGGAGAAAGAATCTTTCATTTGACTCTCCCTTCTGAGCCTCCTCGGGAAAGGTTAAATAAGGGGAAGGTAAATAATGGTATTAAAAGTATTTTTTATTTTTCAAAAAACAATTAGGAATATTTTTAAGGAAGTGCACGGCTATTTTTTAAAATTTAAAAATATTATCGAAACTTTTAAAAGTTTGGGAGTATATTTAAATATACTTTTATTAATTTAACAAGTCTATCACATTATCTTAATAATATTCCAACACTAAAAAAACATATACTTCAAAATTTATTAATACTTTTGATTTTTAAAAATTTTCATTTTATTTACTATTTACGTATCTATGAACTAAAAACTTTTCTTCTCGCAACATTGCAAGAACTTAACTATATTCTTACGTTAAAATTTTAAAATAACTTTTACATCCTCGTTGAATTATTCATATTCTTTATTGATTTTAATTATATTCTTTATTGATTTGATTATAATATATTTTTTTTACTACTATCCATAACCAATTATTTTCTCTAAATTAATTTTATTCAAAATAAATGAAATATATATTGTAGATAGAGGTTATAATATTTCCCAAATATTAAAATAAATAATTATTTATCAAATTATTTATTAATTGGATTCTCTTGAAATATTTTCATATTTTTATATATTAAATGGTAGTAATGAAATTTTAAGATTTTTTTGGTACAAAATTTAAATAGTAAGCCGCCGATCAAGTCTTAAGCTGATAGTAACGACTCCTTAATAATTTCCCACGGCTCAGCTCAAGCCAAGTCGCCAAAGCCACAGCCACTCTGAAAGCCCCACCCTCCGTCGCCCAATGAGTGGTCATAATTAAACTTCTGACCCCTTTTTTGGTTTGACGGCGGCGGCGAGGCCCATGGCTGGCCGCCAGCTCCACCACAATCCAAAATCATAAGTTTAAGAAAAAATACCCAAAATCCAAATTATTTAAATTTAAATTTAAATAAATATATGACGTGTAATTTAACAACATTCAACTTAAAAATTTTAAAAAAAAATGTCATTGAAATGGCATGCAAAGGGTGCCACGTAGCACCCGGCAAAGGCGGAATTTGTCGGGTTGGGAAGGCCCGCCACCCGGCCCAACACAGCCCGCACTTCGAAATTCCCGGTCCGGCCACTACTTAGACTTTCAACACTTTGTCAAATGGGTTCATACAAAACAAATAAAAATTAATAAAAAATAAAATATCTTTAATTTCATATTATAAAATAATAATAATAATTATTATTTAATTCCGTTTTTCGGGGTGGCCAAAAACGTCTGTCATTTGACTGCTGCTAAAGTGCACTAGGTGAGGGGAGCCAACCAATAAAAAAAAAGGGCCGTTAAGATTTCGTCAACACGCATAAATAAATAAATAATTATTTATTTATTTTCAAAATTTAATTAATTTTTTGTTAATTAAACATCGGTTTTAGTGGAAGAAGTAATGATTAGGGAATGGATTATGACGCCACTAATTAAAAAAAAAACCCTAAACCACATAAAATTTAAGATGCACGTGGGACCCTCCATAAAAAAAAATAATCGATTAAAATTTTATTTAATTTAAACAATTTCAATAATCTTTTAATTTTTTAGTGACTGAAATACGTTAAATATTCAACATTTAATATAAATTATTAATATAAATACCATACACCTAAATAGCATCAAAGGTAAAAAATAAAAAAAATCATATTGTTATCTTCATAACAAATATTTGTTTATAGATATAAACATTTTGATATGATTCCTAAACTTTATTCTAAAACTTTATTCTAAGATAAGATCAAAGTTTTAATGAAAGAATGCATCATCTCTATTTAATAATCAAGCATGCCTAGATATGTACTTGTTACTATTTATTTAATATGAAATTAAAATAAAATGTCCTTTCTTGCTCAGAGGGCCATGCTATGATTTCAATATTTGACGCTATAATAATTAGATAATTATGCATATTAATTAACTCTATAATTTTTAATTATAAGATATAAATTTAGGTATGTTTTGAATAGTTTATACATTTCAATTATTAATATGGTGTATGATGACATTCGTTATGATTGATTTGTATGATTTTCCTAAGATTAAAAAATGCCCAGAACAATGTTTGAATTTAATAGGCTAAATTTCAAGTCTATCTCTTTACCCACTCAAACATATATCTCATAAATTATGTAATGGTCAAATGTTGAGACATTTCCTTAGAAATCCGAGCATCAAGTTTATCATTTTTAAAGTTTCAAGTAATTCTTGTGTAGAATTGCATCCAAGCCATTCAATATTTTGATTCTATTCAATTAAGTCTTGATCAAGTTCATTGTGGAGTAACTCAATTTAGAACAAAGTTACAAATTTTGCTTCTCGATTTTTTATCGTAAAAGGTAATCTAATTTTAGTCTCATCTTTTGGTTGATCCAAATTTAGTATAAGTACGTGTTAATTTTTTTGATTCAAGGCTTCTCCATAAAAAGCATGGATCATTGGGTTGAAGATTAGGGTTGACTTGTGAGGTTATTTAAATAATGAGTATATTATGAAAGTCCTTATTTACTCTTCGCATTTAAGAGCCAACACGAATCTTTTCAATTTTGTTTTCGCTTACATGCATCATAGGAAAATTCATAAAAATCACCGAGCATAAAATCACTCCAAACAAAACGGGCTTATTAACTTTATTTCTTTAAGCCTTTCTTAATCATGTTATTCTCATGAGTGCTCCGCTTCCTCTCAAGGTTTTTAAAATACGTCTATTAGGAAGATGTTTTCACGCTCTTATAAAGAATGTTTTGTTCTCCTCTCCAACTGATGTGAGATCTCACAATCCACCCTCCTTTGAACCCAGCGTCCTTTCTGACACTCGTTTCATTCTCCAATCAATATAGGATCCCCAATCCACCCCTCTTCAGAACAAACATCTTTGCTGGTACACCGCCTCGTGTCCACCCCTTTTGGGGCTCAACTTCTTTGCTGACAAATCGTCCGGTGTCTGGCTCTGATATCATTTGTAACAATCTAAACCCACTGCAAATTGGTATTGTTTTCTTCGAGCTTCTCTCAAGATTTTTAAAACACACTTGGTAGAAAGAGGTTTTCACACCTTATAAGAAATAACATGTTCATTCTTCTTTCTAACCAATGTGAGATTTGACAGCTCAATTTACTTGGGTATCACAAAAACTAAATAATAAATATAGCATAGTGTCATCTGTTAAAGTATATATTTATTTGAATAAAATAAAATGTCGGGGTGTGTCTGGATGTTTTTATTTAGGGAGAAATAATATTAACACATGAAATCATAATAATTTATAGGATTTGAATCCGACAGAAGCATTGAATAGACACTTTTATTTGCGTTACCGCTGCTTCGGTACAGCGCCTCCGCCTCCGGTTCCGGTGGTATCGGCGGCGGGAAATCCCCCGTGATTCTGTCCCAAATTCAACCTTGCTTGCCCGCTGCCCGCTGCCCGCTGCCCACTACATTAAAACTGTAATTCTATTTTCCTCGGCCTTCCATCCTTCTTCCTCTTATTATTATTATTATTATTATTATAGCTATTTGTAATTTTAATTTTTAAAAGATTAAAATAAAAAAATTAAAATTTAGGGAATAAAATAAAAAAAATAGAAGTCAA